TGAAACCTCTGAAAGGAACGCAAAAGAGAGAGGGAGAGTAACCTTTAACTTTTTACTTTTAACCTTTACAATGATACATATCTACCGATATATCCAATGAAAGAAATTTACGTGGAGAAATTGAGTAATGTAAGACGGGCCAGCCTGATATTGATAGTTTTTTTCGACAGACAGTTTTTTTCATGTGAATAAGAATTTTTAGTTTGAAAAATTGTTTTTGTTGTCATTATTTTTATCGCTATTGTTGTTGTTGTTGTTATTATTGTTGATGCTGTTGTTGTTGTTGATGTTGTTGTTATTAAATGCATGCCAGGTTAACTAATTTTTCTTGCCGAAATTGTAAAATTTTTTAGGAGTGAGTGAATGGATTGGAAAAATAAAGAGAGAGAGAGAGAGAGAGAGAGAGAGAGAGAGAGAGAGAGAGAGAGAGAGAGATTGTATGTTATGAAGAAATTTATCGTGCACCACTGACTGGATATTATTTTTTTGAGAGGTCTTTAACATTAAATGTTATACATTACCTGTTTGATTGATGATTAGTTTGACGTTCATTCATTTATTTATTCATTCGTTCATTCATTCATTCATTCATTCATTTATTCACTCATTTATTTACTCATTTATTCACTCATTTATTTATTTATTCATTTATACATTTTTATTCTTATGTTTTTCATATTATACAGGACATATATTTAATAGTCAAATGCGAATTCCCGACAGAAAAAAGGTGAGTTTATTTGATGTTGTTGATGTCATTGTAGTTGCTGATGTTGTTGTTGTCGTTGATGTTAATGCTGTTGCTGTTATTGTCGTTGTTGATGTTTTTAACAACTAAGTAACTGATTGACTGATTGATTAATTGATTTTTTGACTTAATGAATCAAATAAATCACGCACTATTTTCGAAGATGGGTTTATTTTCTCTCTCTCTCTCTCTCTCTCTTTCTCTCTCTTCATTCTCTCCCTCTCTCTCTCTCTCTCTCTCTTTGTCTCTTTTTATTTCTCTCTTGCTTTCTATTTCTCTTATTTTTTGTATTTTTTATTTTTTCGTCATCTTTCTCACTCTGTGCTCATCACTTTTTGATTTTCGTCTTTCGTTGTTTTTCTTTTTCACTTTTTCTTTCTCTCTCTCTCTCTCCCTCTCTCTCCCTCTCGTTTGTTTAATGCATTTAAAGTTTATTTGATATGTGGAGCCATCGTTAACATGGCGATTAGGTCGTTGCTATATTTCAGTCTTGCTTATTTATTTTTCATTCCTTATTTTTTCATTAATTCGTTTGTTCATTCAATCATTAATTCATACATTCGTTCGTTCGTTCGTTCATTCAGGTTATAATTACATAATTATCCATTATGTAAGTCCTATAATTTTCATCCAACTTTTCGTTCGTTCAAACTTTTCATTCGTTCAATTCATTCGTTCAAATCTTCATCCGTTCATCTATTCACTCATTCAATCATTCATTCATTCATTCATTCATTCACTCATTCATGCATCAATTTATCTACAAAGTATCATTTAATTTGTGGTAAATATTTAATTTATGTCTGGTCCATTATTAAGTTCGATAAACCTTACAGATATTAATAATTAACATTTGACATATTATAACTGCTTTGGTTTTATTGTTGTTGTTATTATTATTATTATTAGTAGTAGTAGTGGTAGTAGTAGTAGCAGCAGAAGTAGTGGTTGTAGCAGCAGCAGTAAATGCGAACCTTCACATAGTTGAATCATTCAAGAAATAATTTTTTTCTATTGTGCCTCAGTTCAATGAGCGCATACACTAAAATTATCCATTATAATATCACTTTTTATTGATAGTAATAATTATTATATTTATTTATAGTAATAATAATTATTTTTATTATTAACTTTATTTTTATTGTTTTTATTCTCGTTCTTGTTTAAGGCTAATATCCATAGCAACCTATTGTTTACATGTTGTTTGTTGTTACGCGGTTGTCATTGCAGTTGTTGTAGTAGTAGTAGTGGTAGTAGTAGTAGTAGCAGTAGTAATGATAGTAGGTATGTTAGTATTATTTGTAGTAGTAGTAGCAGTGGTGCTAGTGAATTTTTAAAAAGAAAATCTTGAATAGAATCACAATCCCACTCTCATGTACCTACTATGTTGATCTGTGTGTGTGTGTGTGTGTGTGTGTGTGCGTGTGTGTGTGTCTAAATGTGTGCGCGCGATCGATTGCCTAAGTGTGCGTGTGTGCGCGTGTGCGTGTGTATACTAGTGTACTATACTATAACGCAATGGTCTTTTTTAATTTTGATGATGTTTTGCAAAAATTTTATTCTGGTTTTGTATAAAAACAAACATATATGCATACATGCTTACGTACATACACACAAACATACATACATACATAACAAACACACATACATGCATACATTCATGCATACATACATACTTTCGTACGTACGTTCACACATACATGCACACACACACACACACACACACACACACACACACACACACACACACACACACACACACACACATATTCCTCCAGATGTTTCCAGGTTCCAAAACCAGCCAAACTCTCTGACATACGACAGAAGATTGAAAGCACGATTCCAAACAACAACGAATATAAAATTTATTACAACCATCTTAACGAACAGGTTTTATTATCATAAATAATTATTTTTATTTTATTCGTTTTCATTAAATTGTTATTATTTTATTGTCATTGTTATTTGTTATTTGTGACATGTAACATCTAGACAGCACTTGTATTGCAAATGAAGGGCATGTACTTGATCTGTAATAGTAGTAACAGTTGTGCTTTCGTCTACCGTCATCTTTGTCACCATCCTCTTAAACTTTCTAATCATCATCGCTATCTCTCTTTTATCTCTCTCTCTCTTTTATTTCTCTCTCTCTTTCTCTTTTCTCTCTCTCTCTCTCTCTCTCTGTTTTTTGTTTTCTTTCTGTTTTTCGCACATGTTTTTTACGTTCTTTCTCTTTCACAATACCATTTTTCTCTCTTTTTCTCTACCAATATTTCTTCCTTTCTCTCTCTCCCTCTCTCTCTCTCTCTCTCTCTCTCTCTCTCTCTCTCTCTCCTTCCATTCTTTTATGTGATTTCTAATTCGTGTCCTAAAAAAAAGTCTGCAGAGGTCGTGAGCCAGGAGGACCTTGAAATGCTGGTGGAGATCCTCGAGAAGACGAACACGAAACTCAAGCTGACCGTCCGACTGCCAGCCGTGCCCGTCACGCCGGTCCAGTTCAAAAGATTGTTCGCCGACTACAACAACAACAATAATAATAATAATTGTAATAATAGCAATAATAATAATAATGGTAATAATAATTATGCCTACAGTGGCAGTAATAACGAGGTTGGCTACTTGGCAACTTTTTGTTATTATGATTATTATTGTTTTGATGGTACCTTTGGAAAATAATTGGAACAATTGAAATAACCTTTAACCTTTATTATTATTTCTATTGTTATTATCGCGCGCGTCCACTCCACTCAGTTAAGGCACTGTGGTAGTAGCGACAGTCCGTCCAGATTCGGCGTCAACCAATCAAATCATCCGCTGGCGTTTGGCCACGCCCTCAGAACCGGGGCTTCTTACTGTAACGCATTTGAGAATCTTAGAATCAACAGTAATGATGAAGTGAGATTTTTTTGATTTTTAGTTTTCATCATAATTTGTCTTAGATTTATTTACTATGATAATACTGATTTAGTCAATTAGAGACGTAAATTATGTAAATTAGTTAATGTTACGCGCATAAATTATGCAAAATAGATCACGCCCCCGATGTACACCGGTGGTCTTTGTAGCCCTCTCTACAGCAGCAATTCCAGTGTCAATAATGATGGGTCGGTTGTGATGATGAGGACGATGATGTTGTTGTTGTGGATGATGATGATGATGGTGATGACAGAGAGACTGATAATGATGATAATGATGACGACGATGATGATGTCGATGCCCTTGACTAGTTAACATGTATTGAACTACAAATGATCCTACTTATACTGCTGCTGCTACTACTACTACGACTATTACTACTACTATCACTACTACTACTACTACTTCTACTATTACTACTACTACCACCACTACTACTACTACTACTACTACTACTACTACTACTACTACTACTGCTTCTACTATTATTACGACTACTACTACTACTACTAATAATAATAATAATAATAGAAATAATAATACCGACGATCACCAATAATCACAAGCAGGATTAACAACAATGTACTATATAGCGGAACAGACGTAGGGAATAACAGTGGTCAGGTTGGAGGCACCTTCCCGAAGACTAAGAATCAATTCTTCCATGATCCAATCGTCGCCAGTATGTTTGTCACGGGCTGGGCTTGTTGATTGATGGCTTACTCGTTCCTTCTTTTATTTAGTTGCCCATTCATTCATTCGTTCATTTATTTATTTATTTATTTATTCGTTCATTTTCATTTATTCGTTCATTTTCATTTATTCATTTTCATTCATTCATTCATTTTTATTCATTCATTTTCATTCATTCATTTTCATTCATTCATTTTCATTCTCTCATTGCACCACCAAAACGACCACACACAATCACAGAGCAGCTACCGCCCTACACATTTCCTCGAAATAACCGGGCATTACCGCGCGACAACAGCAGCAGTGGTGGTCACGGCAACCACCACCACCACAACAGCAGCAACAACAACAACAGTACTGCTAACAGTACTATAAGTAGTATCAGCAGTAACAGCAGTGGCTACGTCAGTTGCTGTAGTCGCGACGCTCTCATGTCTAGCATCAAAAGGATTAAGAATATTGATGGTTGGTTGGTGGGCTGGTTGGTTGATTGGCTGTTTGGTTGGTTGGTTAGTGGGCTGATTGGTTGGTTCATTCATTAATTTATTTATTCATTCTCTCGTTGACTGGTTCATTCGTTCGTGATTTCATGACCGATTGAACTTCAATTCATAACTTCAAACTTCCCAAAATCTCTTCAGGGGCTCCGTTTAACTGGAAGAAGGGGAAAATATTAGGCGCCGGTGGTTTCGGGCAGGTCTACCTCTGCTACGATGTCGACACGGGCGTTGAGTTGGCCGTCAAACAGGTCAATGTCTATTGCCAGTCGGAGGACATTTCGAAGGTCTGTCCGTTGTGATCAAATTGTACACAACTACTTCATGCATACTGACATGTAAACACATTCATACACACACACACACACACACACACACACACACACACACACACACACACACACACACACACACACACAATCATCTACACACGCACCAACACATCCATACACGCACACGCACACACACGCGCACGCAGGAAGTTAGAGCACTGCAGAGCGAGATAAAGTTGCTACAAGACCTTTCAAATCCACGAATTGTACAATACTACGGAAGCCAAAAAGAACCGCACATGCTGTCCATATTCATGGAATTCGTACCCGGGGTATGTGTGTGTGTGTGTGCGAGTGTGTGTGTGTACGTGTGTGTGTATGTGTACGTGTGTGTATGTGTATTCGTGATTGTTCTCGGTGCTTTTTGCTGTGTTATTCATCACTCGGTGTAAACTAAGAGGCATGAGCTAATGTTACGACATATACACGCAAAGGCAGACGTACTCTCTTTCTCTTTCTTTCTCTCTCTCTCTCTCTTTCTCTTTCTTTCTCTCTCTCTCTCTCTCTTTCTCTCTCATTTTCTCTCACTTACGCATGATCAGATATATAGCCACACACGTACGTACACACACACATATATATACACACACACACACACACACACACATATATTTTCCTATACTGTATAATAGTCATCCACTACTGTATAATAGTCATCCACCAAGAATTTTGTCTGAGTGAATTGAATACAAGAACAAATTTTGTAAATACACACGCACATGTACACACACGCACATACACACGATCACACATGTATACATACGCACGTACACTCGATCACACACGTACACACACGCGCGCGTATTCAGGGCTCAGTTAAAGATCAAATCCAAGATTACGGACCACTGACGGAGAGCGTAACGAAGAGGTACACCAAGCAGGTGCTGGAGGGTCTGGAGTTTCTACACTCACTCATGATCGTGCACCGTGACATCAAAGGTTCTCATGATGACGATGACGATAATAATAATAATAATTATTATTATTATTATAATTATGAATAATAATAATGACAAGAAGGATAACTAAAAAATTCTTCTTCTCGCCAGGTGCAAATATTCTTCGCGATCACGAGGGAAACATCAAGTTGACCGACTTCGGAGCAGCCAAAAGGCTCTCCAGTATTGTCAATAAGACAGCCGATGTTTCTAAAAACTTGACTGGCGCCAAAACTATGACGGGTTTGTTGTTGCTGTTGTTATTGGTGGTGGGGTTTTGTTGTTGTTGTTGATGGTGGGGTTTTGTTGTAGTTATTGGTGTTTTGTTGTTGCTATTGGGGGTTTTGTTGTTGGTGGGGTTTTGTTGTTGTTGGTGGTGTTTTGTTGGTGTTGTTGGTGCTGTTGTTGCTGTTTTTGTCTTACGATTACCATTTATATTACCGTTGTTGTTGTTGTTGTTGATTTGCTGTTGTTGTTGTTGTGTTGTTATTTTTATTGTTTATTATTATTATTATTATTATTATTATTATTATTTTCCCCCAAAAAGGTACGCCGTATTATATGTCACCGGAGATAATTGAAGGGAAACGTTATGGTAGAAAAGTTGACATCTGGTAAGTTCTCTCTCTCTCTCTCTCATTCATTTGTTTCTTCTTTCATTCGTTCTTCTGTTCGTTCGTTCGTTCGTTCGTTTGTTCGTCCATTCATTTTTTTAACTGGTTCATTCGTTAATTCCTTCAAATATATAGATTCACTAATTTATTAATTCGCCATTCATTCATTTATTCTTTTGTCCCCATCCATTCATTCACTTACACATGCACACACTCACACGCACACACACGCACACACACTCACACGAACACACACTCACACGCGCACACACGCACACACACACAGGAGTTTGGGTTGCACGGTGGTTGAAATGTTGACAGGGCATCCACCCTGGCACGAGTACGAGGGAGTGGCGGCCATCTTCAAAATCGCCACCCAACCGCATCCGTCCTACAAACTGCCCCCCGACACGTCACTGCAGGTCAAGGTCAGTAAGTGGGAGAAGTTAATCGGTGGTGCCTCAGTTTGATTGGTTGAGCGTAATTGTTTGAATTTTCGTTAAAGACAATTAGTTGATTGGTTAAGTTTTTCTAGTAAAAGTGTTTAGCAGTGATTTGTTAGCTGTCTTTAGATTGGTTAGTTGATTCAATAATAATAATGATGATAATAATAATATTATTAATAATAATAATGATAATAATAATAAAGGATTTTTTGTCCTGCTGTTTCGAGAGAGATCCAGAGAGAAGACCGTCAGCCAAGATCCTCTACAACCACATGTTCATCAGGTCACTCGTCACTGGCTGCGATTGATTTCATTT